ATAGCATCAGTGATTTTTTTTGTCACCTTCCCTCAAATCCTAAAATGTCAGTCCTGGTTTGTGTTAACCTCTCGCTCGGATGCTCAGGGTAGCCTGTTATACATGGTGCAACCTGGACAAGTAAAGTACATTCTGATAAGTACACAAGTATTCCTATTTTCTGTCTTGTTTGTTTACAAAGTTTGTATCTGTCAAGTGAGTCCTGATAAAATTTGAATCCTCATGAAACGTCACCATCAGAAGTGCTCAGAGACTTCTGGATTTTCAGTTTGGCACCGAAGTTGGGCTATTCACAGAAAACCTGACCAAAACCTAGTGTGTAGTTCTCTCTACTTTTGGAATCAACTCATGTGCTGATGTGGCAAACTGTTCTAGAGAACATTTTCAAATATTGACTACGTTCACCAAGTGTTTTACAGAAGCACGAAATCGGGTATAATGGTAAACCTGGGTATTCCTATTTTACTTTCTAAGAATAAAACAGGCAAGTGTTATGTTTAGGTTTAATATTTGAAGAACTTATGGAAAAGTATATCCTATTAACACTCTTCCCTTTAAGTCATGGAAGTTCAGATTACAAGTTCTGAAACACAAGCTAAACTATTAATGACCAAAAACAACTTTTCATACAAAAGTAGGGTTCATTCTTTGTAAAATATTCAACTGAGCAAAGTTGATTTTAATTCTACAGCACTTTCATAATGTAGTACAAATAGAGACCACCATGTTCAGAATTAATTAAGGCTTGTTCCAACTTACTATGGGTCTGCCTTTTTCCCTGTAGTATTTCTGCCTCTTAATGGACAATAAACCTTTCTTGCTCTGAATATGTGTCTCAACTATGAAAAGAACTCAAAACATCGCTTTAAAAACTGGAAATAGGAACTGGGTGCTGGTGGCTTGCTTCTGTAATCCCAGCTCCTCAGAAGGCTGAGATCAGAGGATCACAGTTCAAAGCCAGACTAGGTAGAAAAGTCCATCAGACTCTTGTCTCCAAATAAACACCAGAAAACCAGAAGTGGCACAAAGTAGCTCAAAATGGTAGAGTACTAGTCTTAAGCAGAATTAATCAGGGACAATGACCAGGCTCCAAATTCAAGCCCCATGACTGACTGACCAACAAAAATCTGGAAATAGAACTAAAAAGGTTTGTGGGTTTTTGTAGTTCTAGAAATAATAATTTTCATATTTTAAATCAAGACTCTTTGTGTGCTTTAATAAGGAAGGTGGTAGAAACAAAAAGTTAATAATCCAAGGATTCAGATAATATGCTACATAACATAATGCAAATGATAACATTTTATTAAATCTGTTGGTATTTTGTTAAATATTTAATCTCTGTGTATGTGTGAAGGTAAAGCTACTACAGTTAGTTGTCTAGGTTTCCTTACAGTGTTAGTATTTAAGCAGCTTCCATATCTTAAGGGGATGTTTAAAAACCTTGTTTAACTGGTCTTCGTATCAGCCTGGGTACCTAGATGCTGTTTTCATTCCTTTTCAGATTAGAAAACAGCTGCACAAGTGTTCCAATTGGAACAAGTTTCTACTTTCCTGGTTTCTGTGTTGGGCTTACATGAAATATTATATTTGAATGAAAAGATCATAGTGAAATTGTTTGAAAACCATCCCCGACACCACACTTGTCTCTCTACATAAATGTATTGCTAAATTCTCTAGAGCTGATACATTTCTATTTCCAGTTGGGGATAATTTAAATTTGATGAAAACACAAATTTTCTAAAATAAAGTTAGAGTCTAAAATAGTTTTGACGCTTAGATAAATTTTTGAGATTTTTTTCAACCTTAAGATGCTTTTAAGTTGCTTTCATTCAAGTCATCATTCATCTTAGCTGAAAGCTCCTAAGCCATGTTTTAAAGATATACACAGAGCTTCCTATGCTTTCAAAAGATGCATATGTGAATATTGTATAGTAAATAAAAGAGTATGTGTTTGTAATAGAGGGATTTGTCATGATTTTAGAATCTAAATTATAGGGATTAAGTGCCTCAAGGCAATGCAATAATATAATATTGAGTGTAACTAGTTCACAAGTTGAATCTCATATTGTAGACTCAAAAATGAGTTAATAGGTTGAAAGCTATAGCTCAGTGGTAGATGAGTTGCGTATCAGTTGCCTGTGCAAGGTCTTTGAAGGCCTCCGGTCCTATAAAAATAAATGATATCAACCTGGTTATAATTAGATGTAAATATTTTTATTATCTCGTAACATAATTGATTATTGAGATATTGAGTGAATGTATTCTTTGATAATTGATGATTATGTTCTCCATGTAAATAATGCAGTCATAACAGATTTTTATCAAGGTTGGCTGTGAGGTTGGATGGGAATCCTTTAAACTAAGAGAAGGTTATTCACACTATGACTACTTAATGTTTCACTAAAGAAAGAGTGATTCAGATTCTTTATCTTGAGTAGGATGCCTTTTGCATGAGCAGAGATCTAATCTTAATCGCCTAATATAATTTGAGAATTTTCTCCATGTACCATCTTGTATTGACATTTTGAAATCTAGACTAAAATATATAATCAAGGAGGAGAGATGATTGCTACTGTACAATAAGAATATAATTGTCTTAAAATTGCTGCCTTATAAGAATGAGCAAGACACATCAAATTTTCATTTAAATACTTCTATAGCATTTACTTAGCAGAGTGTTAATGTACTATATATGTGTATGTGTGTGTATGTATATATATTGCTATGCTAGAAACAAAGATAAAATAGCTTTATAGGAATGTAATGCATACTTTTACTTCTATTTCTTAAGGATAATTGTTAAAGGTTTTGGTTCTTATTTTCAGAAAGCAGGTTACTTGAAACAGCATGCTTGTTTATCTTTTTCCATCTATGTTGGTAGCAAGGTGTTTCTAGAAATAAACTCCATACATTGAGTATGGAAAGAAGGTTACTTTCGACCATAACATAAGAAACAGAATGTGTTCATAAAGTAATCTGTTATTATAATGATATATCACTACACAAGTTTGATTTCTAGGTTTAGAAGTCTTAGAGGGGATGTAGTCAATGCAGAAAGCCTTATAGAAAGCATTGTCCGACAGCCTGGAGAGGGGAGGACCTGGAGGGACATGCTAAACACAATGTGGAGCATACCATGAGAATAAAATGGGGACTACTGAGTGTGGGGACAAGCATTGGAAGTAAGGAGGGAGAAAGGAAAGGAGAGGGTGATGAAGATGAAGATGATCAACATACTTTACAAGTAAGCATGAATGAAAGTAGCATAATGAAATCTGTCCAAACGTATTTGAAAAGCAGATGGATAAGACAGGTTAAAGGAGTACATTTTAGCAAAGTACATTAAATGACTATATGAAAAAAATCACAGTGCCCTTTTGTTCTGTTAATATTCTTGGGATGTAGTCATTAATAAATGGTAGTATATTTTACAAAACTAAATGCCTTTACTCCCACTGTCTTACCACATCAGTGACCTTTTGGTATCTGTACATTAATAAGTTTCTACATTCCTTTCTGGTTTCCAAGGCTTTTCTCTCTTTGTGTTTTTTTTTTGTACGGCTTCATTATCTTCAGACATCAACAGAGCCATCAACTACTGACCATGCAGTAGTTATGCAGGAATGGTTGTCTGTTACCTCAGACCATTTCGATGTGACGTGCCTAAGAACTGAACAAAATAAACTACTTAATGACCACTGGGAAACTGAGGTTCTAATACATACCACCAGAATAGAAGGTTTAAGAATAAGTTAACCGTTTTAGTAAAAGATTTCTTTTTTTAACCATGTTAGTAAAAAGTGGTAGAAACTGAGCAGTCTGCTTCGTTCATTTCTAAATACATGCCGTAGTGCATATAGCCTGTGTTTGGATGTTGAACTTTCTCCAATCAGATTCCTCCCACAGTTCTGGCACTTTTGAAATATCAGACTACACTTTGAGAGCCAATGAAGAAAATGTGTCAGTTCCTTTTTTCTTCATATGTTCTCTGGAGGCAAGGGTCAGCTGGAAGGTTTTGTGATTAGTCAGGCTTTCTGTTCACAAAGCCACATATCTGGACCTGTTTTGAGCATAAAGGATGTTCAGGGAAGGCCCATTCTTCCTCTCTGTCCGAGCAGTAGACCCAGCCGTCCTCTGAGGGCAGCCAGCATGGGAGCAGTGGCACTAACAAATGCCTTTAGTCTGTGGTGCAGAAGCACTGTGGATCACATCGTGTTAGGCTTCATCAGCTACCTAACGCAATGTAACTGGAGAGATAAGATAAATCAAAGGGATGACACTATATTAGAGCTGAAAGATGAGAGCTCTTCCAAAGTAATTGCACAGTGTATATTTCAGTGCTGTTGACTCCAGGAGGTTATGGAAGTCAAAAGTCTTTGCAACAAAACCCAGTCTTTCAAAAGCTACGTAACGAGTAAGCAGAGTCATGGTTATTTCTTCCAAATGTCCTAGGAAGAAGTAGAATTGTAGAGTTCTCTATTGTCTATTTTTTTTTACATAATTTCTTTGTATATACCTCGGTTTTTATTCTATCGCCAGCTTAGATATTTACTGTAAACAGAAAATAAAATAGAATTTAAAAAAAGGAAAACCCATTTAAGGGTTGGAAATAGATAGCTTGGTGGTAGAACACTATTTTTCCTAGTGTGTGCAAAGACTTGAGTCTAGTCCCCCAGCATTGGAAGAAAAATATGTTTAGTGTGCAAATGCATGTTAAACAAGAAAGGTAGAATTTTCTATTTAATGTTATTTTTGTCTCTTGCTAGATTGTTCAGTACAAAAGTGCCTTAAGCTAATTGAAATGGGTCATTTCTGATTAAATTTGTGACTGTATTTAAGAAAATGAGTCCTTACTAAATTGTTACCTGAATTTAAGAACTTACATTTATTTTTAACATTTGAAAACTTTGCATATCCTGATTATTGTGTAGAAAGCCATCACTTTAATTTAGGAATTCAGAGATGGACACATGTTCTCATTGATTCCTACTGTTTTGTAGCCTACAGTGTGTGAACGAGAGCTGTGTGTATTTGCTTTCCAAACCCTGGGAGTAATGAATGAGGCTGCTGATGAGATAGCAACTGGAGCTCAGGTACTAGTACCAATTATTTCTGGTTTTGCTTTGAACGATTTGTTCCAGTCTACCAGCGATCTTTGCTTTGCTGTTCTTCAGGGAGAGTTTCTTTTTTGATGGCTTTTTCTTAAAGAAAAAATTGGTATTTGGAATTTTAAAAAATACTTTTCTCTCTACCTAATGTGTGTGTTCTCATTTCACAGCTGCCTAAGGGAAAAATTAAAGAGACTTTTCTATTGTATCAAAAATGATTGTAATTATTTCTTACATGGTAAAGTTGAGCTACAGAAGCCTTGTAAATGCTTTATGTGAAGTTTATTTGTAAAATTTATACTGCCAACCAATGGAAGTCAAATTATTTTTAGAACAGGTGAACGTGAAATGGGAAAAACCTACAATCAAAAGAGAGCATTTAGGTTTTACAACAGCACTGAAATAATAAAAAAAAATCAATAAGTAGCCAGGGATGTTGGCTCTGGCCCTCAGGAGGCTGAAGTAGGAAGCAGGAAGTTTGCAGGTTGGAGGCAGCCTGGGTAACATACTAAGACCTCGTCTTCAACCAAAAACAAAACAAGCCAATGAAATACATTCCATATTCTGGAAAGGAGAAAATCAATAAATGACAAAGATGCTGTAATTTACTACTTCAAACATTTCCATCAATATTTCAGTTGTCTTTCATTTTTAGTCATATAGGAAGCATGACTAAATTATTCCTTTATGAGAAAAAAATGACAGAAACTTGAAATTAGTTAAGTTTAATTAAGAGAAATGACAGGACTACATACAAAACCATGTTATACAATGCTATATTACTTTAACATGACATAGTAGTGACAAAGAATAGAATAGAATGACAAACAGTGGGTCATCCTTAAAACTTGATCACTACAAACAAGCATGTTGGATATCACAATCTCCCTTGATAAACAATTATTTAGCAAGTCTGAAAGGAACAAATGACTGATAACATGGAGGAAATGGTGTTTCAGCTTTAACCTTATACTGTGTGCAAACAATAAATCCCAAATAGTTTAAGGTATTGCTTTAAAAAACTAGGTACACACTACAAAGTTAAGCATGCCCCACCTGAGCAGTGTGCCAGGTTTCTGCAGTTAGGCAGTTTTGGAAATCACAAAGGCAAATGGCATAATTTACATGCATTCCATGTTCTCAGTTGAAAAATAAATAGTAAACATTATGAAAAAACTATAGAAAGATTATTTTTACCACAACCAAAATTATATATGAACTAAAAAAAACTAAAAACGGAGGCCTTGGGGGCCTTTTCGGTTTCCCGGGGAAAAATGAATATAAGTTCACAAAGAAAGGAAAAGAGATTGTAAAAGAACATGATAAAACATTCCGTAGCACTGAGTGTAAGAGAAATCTAAATGTGAAAGGAATTACCAGTGTGTCATTTATAAAACTTCACAAAGACAAAGAAGGAAATACTTTATTTTTATTTCCATAAGCACAGATGTCTACTATCAAGCCAGGGTCAGGGTGATGGCACAGTCACTAATTAATGTAGACAGCTTCCTGAAGTATGTCCTTAACTTAGTCGTTTCTCTGATCTACTATGTACTCACTTGATGGAAAACTATGGATGACCTTTTTGATATTATGAATTATGAATGAAGACATACTGTCATCAATAGAACAGTGGCCTTAAGGGGCATGAAAGAAATAGTCTCAAAATTAAAATAAATTTTAATGACAGTAAAAACTAACTTAATAATTTAAATAGGTTGAATTGAGACCCCTTTTGTGCAAATACTTAAAATAATAAAATGAATCTTAAAAGTACAATTTTGTATTGCCCCTACATATAACATTCACAAATTTACATATGAAGTCCTCTGAGACTCCAGAAAACTAATAACTAGTGTGTATTTAGAAGGTTCTGAAATGTATGTACCCATGAAGAACATTTTTACTTTTATTTTTATATGAAAGCTTTTATTATTGCGTTGAGGTAATTTTGATAAAAAAGTAAAGGACATTTGTAATTATTCTGATATTTATAGCTATGTAAAAATAATTAAAGCTTAAAGCCTTTCTTCTAGGTATGGGTGTATATGTATGTGCACCTATATTAGAAATTCCTCAGATAGTACACTTAAAATTTGTGACTTCTGCTGGGCATACATTTTCCCTCAAATATAGCAACTAAAGCCTAGAAATCGCAAATTAATAATGAGAGGGAAAAATTAACCACCCTAATATTAGGATAGTTAAATAGAATAGCAAGTGCTTTATCTCTTGACAGATAGTTAAATTTCTGAAAATGATTTTTAAATAGAAATGTGTTTTAATTATGTAATGGTTATAGAGTTCAAGGGCTTCATCAGACCCATTTAGTGATTTAACTCTAAATATCAATATTTCAAGATCAGAAAATGCAGTTTATTCTCTCAGCTTGTTCTTTTCAGCTTCAATTTGAGAAATTAAAACCCAAACACAGGTAGTATTTCATAAGGGGACCGTTTCTTTCTCTTAAACAGAAAGAAACTGGCTCTATAGTCTCAGTGCGTCAGTAGAGCACAGCAACTGCTAGTGCTCAGAAGAGCGCTGGGATTCAAGAACAAGTTAAGAGACTGGGCCGAGATAGCCATGTCTTGAGATCTAAGCAGATACCATTCCAGATCCCTAAATACTAATTCAACCGAAACACCATCTTTCTCCCTATGTATTAGGCTTTTATAGACAACGATAATAATCAGTATTGCAGTGTTTGACCACCATTGCTTTGAAGTTATAAACCCACTTTTTCATTCAGGTAACAATGCATATCTATAAACTGTTCTTACAGTTAGTTGCCTTTGTTACATACCTGCACTATTAATCAGCTGAATACTTAGTGACTGTTATCTTTTTTTCTCATTTGCAAGAGCTCTGAGGTCTTCCATATCTGAAGGATGGAGGATGTTTCACTATCCATGCTACCTGAACACAGACCTGTCTAATTCCTTGTGTCAATATACTGGCCCAGAGAAACTTAGTTCAGAAGAGTGCTCATGACTAAGATAGAATAAATCATATGGTTGGAGGCAGCACATATTTATTAAATAAGAGTTAATGTTGGCCAAGTTTGGTGTAAAGGCATGATCTACAAATCCTAGACATTGCTGGCATTTGGTAAATGTAGGTTAGCATGAGAGGGAGAGTCAGTGGGGAAACGACTTGTTTATAACTTTCTTCTTTGTGTTTTTCAAGGTGGTAGATCTCCTAGTATCTATGTGTAGATCTGCATTGGAATCTCCTAGAAAAGTTGTCATTTTTGAGCCATATCCTTCTGTGGTAGACCCCAATGATCCTCAGATGTTGGCCTTCAACCCCAGGGTGAGTAGTAATGCTGGCATACCCCACATACAATATTACAATATTTCTGATTTTCATCCACCTGGATGTCTAGCTCACCAAAGTACATCCATTATTATTTTATGTTTATTCGATAGTTTTTGAGATTCTGACTCTTACAGTCCCATTTGGATTGTAACAGCCACAAGGAGAGAAAGAGAGATAGAGATGCTTTTTCCTTTGTTATTTTCACTTCAACTTCCCTCCACCTCCTCCTTCCACAACCACCTGAAAGTTAGTGAAAGCTGAATTTGTGCTCTTAATGGACTGGCATTTCTTATATAACCGTTTTATTTCTACAACCATTTTATAAATACTTGTGAGAATTAGTTATAATCCTTCTGAAATGACAATAATTTCAAATTGCATGTGAGCTAAAATTGCCTTAGCCTGTATTATATCATTTGTCTTGAATCGTTTTATAGAAATGTCTCTATACTGTCTCCTTGGAAGACCTTCCCTTTCATTTGTTCATGGTGATGGCAGAGTCTGCTTGCATCATGTAAGAAATAAAATGTGTATGCTCATATACACTATTATACTCATTTGATAGCAACATCCTAATCAAAAATAAATAAAAGTAGTAAAAATACTTGAATGGACTTTTGTCCAGAAGGATGTCCTATTGACTTTATTGCTTATTGTTTAAGTGGTGAATGCCTGAAACAAAAGCCCCAAATCTTATTTGTATTTCTAGACTTGATCCCTTACCCAGCTGAGCATGATTTTGTATCCTTAGATAGGGAATAGCACTGTTTGTTTTGTCCTCTCCTGACTGGTTATAAATCCTATGTCCTTGAGCCATCTTATTGCAGTCTTTTATGTACATAAAGAAGTTATTGCATTCACTCTGACTCTGATGAGAAATTCATATGCAGAGATAATGTATTTCTTGAGTGCTAGGTAACTTGTGAATACTGTTATTTTTCTCATTATGCAGAAAAAGAACTACGATCGAGTAATGAAAGCACTAGATAGCATAACTTCCATCAGAGAAATGACACAAGTAAGTATGCTGCACAAGTCAGTTTGCTTGACTAAAATCGTATTTTAAAAATGAGAGTGGCCATGTACTAAAATGTAGATTTTTTTTATTACTCTAGGGGGGTTAATTAAAATCATAAAAAAATTGTGCTGTACTAAGATATTTTAATTAAATTGTGCCAGTGTATTAACATGGAATCATCATGATTTTTGGAGTTCAAGTGCATAATTATTGCCTTGCCATTCTACTCTGTAACTTCAGCAAGAGCTTTCAGTACATGAAGGTATGTTAGGATATTTTAAAGCAAGGTTTTTAATCTAGTACCATTTTATGTGAATTTTATTGGATGGTAGCAATTTCAAACATCATTTTAAGGTTAAAATAAACAAATATTGTAATTGTAACCCCTCTGTACAGTATTTTCACAATTAAAAAAATAAAAATAAAAACAGAGCAAAAGGCATTAAAAACTTAAATAAAAAAATAAACAAATATTCTTTTAGGTACAGGTTTTGCAAAAGTAATTTGGATATAACACAGAATTTCAAGTCACTTTGGAAGAAGTACGACTTTATACTTTCAGTCATTCAGGAGGCTCTGGTGGAAAAGTTTGATGAGCGAGAATCAGGGCTGCTTTTGAAGATCAAACACATCCTTGGGCTAAAACCCCATACTTGAAAGGCACATAGTATTGAATTACTTTCCACTAGGAAATAGTTGAAGAGAGTTTAAAAAACATTATTATAAAATGAAACTAATCATCTAAAGTTGCCGATGTGGATTGTGACTACAGATTGCCTGGGCTATTTCAAGGCTTGCATTGCACTGAGGGCTTGTGTGCTTAGGACAGACAGTACCTAGCTTATTACATTCTCTGGGAAAGGAATAGGAGAATTTTCCCATCAACACACTCACTTACTTAAAGACACTCTCTCTCCAATATCATCTATATCTCTACTTGAAGACAGGGTTCAAAGTACATGTTTACATTTTTTACTTTATTTCTTTTATTCATTATTCATATACTAAGATCATCATTTAACAGACAGCATATGTTAGACAATGAAATATAAGAAGTCTTATATTTCATGATCCTTTCCAGTTATTTTTGTATGTTCACATTTCTGTGTATTCAGAATTCTTTTTCAAACTAGCATTTATTATTTGCATGAGAAAACTATACAATAAAGGCAGTTTTCAATGGGAAAAAATATTGCAGTGTCTTTTTTCACGAAGTTAGACAGTTTTGGTCATGCCAAAGACTTTAGTATAGGGTGTTTCTGTTATACCCTACACCCAGATCATTCTTGGATTTAAAAATAGCTACCAACTCTGACTCTAGAATCAGCTCTCTGCCAAAAATTGCTTGCTTCCTTTATTCTGGGTCATGTGTAAGCTATTTTAATAGGAGGCAATGCAGATGAAGGAGCATCATCCTAGGAAGTTAAGAGGCCAAAGTTGTCTAACTGACTCAACAGTGATGTGTCCTGTGACCTTGGAAAGCTGCTTGGTTGTTTGGTTTCTGAGTAGCTTCACTGTCAAGGTAGAAAAGAAATGCTGCAGCTTCTTTCAGAGTGTGCTTCAGGTTTTATTGCATCACATCCTCTCTAGTGTATAAACATAACATCTTACTCATCTGTTTTCTAGAATATTCTATAGATAACTTTAAGTTGTCATAGAGAAATTGCCTTGTATTCTGTAAAATGGCTAGTGATTTGGGTAAATTGCATTGTTTGTCATTTTAAAGAAGGGTTCTTAGGTAAATTTGCATCCTGTTTTCTATTGAGAAGGTCTTCAGTGTTCCCCAGATATGAGCATGGGTAGTAGCTATCCCAACTTTCACTGTCAAAGAGAGCATTATAGGAACCTTTTCAAAGGTGACAAGATGGATTCTTTTCAGAGCACTGCAGTGCTGAAAGAGAGGCTGCAGTGGAGATGAGGGTGCTGAGGTATGAAAGGGAGATGACAGAGGCAAAGGGGATTATAGGGAGTAAAAAAATGGGACAGGAAGAAGGACCTGGGGAGAAGGAAATTTACCTAAGATACTAGGTGCAGCATTTTTGAGAATAGTTTAGTAGAATGAGTAAAGTGTAGGCCATGTGGTTTGACAACATTACATTTTTTTGAGAAGCAATAACAAGGAGGCCGTGTATGGGGGGAAGGGAGGGAGGTGAGAGAAAGAGAAAGAAAAGAAAGAAAGTAGGATAGCAAGAAAGAGAGAGAAAGAAAGAAGGAAAGGAAGGAAGGAAAGAAAGAAAGAAGAAAAAAGAAAGAAGGAAAGAAAAAGAAAGGAAGGAAAACAAAAAAGGAAAGAAGGAAGAGAAAGAAAAAGACAAGAAAAGAAAGGCAGGCTTTTAGGGAAATAGCCTAGCACAGGTAGAAGCCAAGTTAAAATTTGGTCAGGTCTCTTAACACAACAACAGGCAAGTTCTTTGTGTCAAGTGGAAGTTCAGAGTTACCATATTCTTGGGGGATATGACTCGGGGTAATTGCTTTTATTCCCATGTCAAGACCACAGATTTTCAATGTTAACTAGATAAACAGTATTATCCAGTCTGATTTTCCTTTTGTAAAAAAGGGGGAAACCATTTGAAAGAAGAATCAAGGACTGTAATTTCTTTTTATTTGCAGGCGCCGTATCTGGAAATCAAGAAGCAGATGGATAAACAGGACCCCCTTGCTCATCCCTTACTGCAATGGTATACAGTTTTTAGTTTTTCTCTTAATGCAAACAGCATCGGTTTCTACTGTTTCCTCTGGGGGTAGACAAATCTTTTTTTAAAAAATAAACCCTGCAATGCTACTGTTGTACAAGTCCATAAGACTTAGGGATTGTACAATTCAAGAGTCCATAATGACTCTCACTTTAATTAAAACTTATACATCACAAGGGGGGAGAAAACACCATCACTCACAATACCAAGGGTATATCCAGTGCTATCCACAGCAGTTTTCTTGCAGTCTTAAAAGATAGGATAAACCAGATTGCTTGTGGAAGGCATTTCGGTTCATTTAATTTTCTAGTTCAGTGAGGACTAAGTGATAAAACTCTTGGAATCCTTCGTGAAAATCTTCTGGAAATACGTTTTGTACATTTTGCTTCCTTAACAAGGACACTATAAATTTGGTTAACCCTGCTTAAGCATTGCAGACGATGGGCAGACTGGATTCTAGTGAGCTGGACTGCCACCAGGACTGGTGTCTAGAGAACTCACCTTGCTAAGCAGCCAGATTCAGATCCTTTGTCCTCCCTCCTTCAGCAAGGCTGCTTTGTGTTTCTCCCTTGTGAAATGAAATCACTTTGAAAACTCAAAGAACTGGAATTGATCACTAATGATTGTGAAGTTTTAAAAGAAAATGTAAGGATTGTGCGAGTTTGGCCTAGACAAATATTTCTTCCTCGTGACATCCATGAAGTGTTTAAGAAACACATGCAGACCAAGGGAAAAAGAGTCCAGTCTTTTCAAGATTCTTCTCACTGCTCAGTTAGTTGAAACTCTGTACTGCACTTTTAGTTTAGTCTTGACACCAAAATTTAGATTTAGAATCCTGCTCTCTTTTATCTGTAGTTATAATCTGTTATCAAACTTCCGACAAATTAAGAAATACAACACTACTGGTTTCATAACTTTTGAGATTTTCTCATCCTATTCGAAATTAAAACCAAAATTTAAGTATCTAATCGATTCTTTTGCCTCTGATGTTGGCTTGTTGTTCATTTTCACTTTCTTGTGATCATTTCCTCCAGCTTACTAGTCAGCTTCTTTTCTTTCAGAGAGAAAACATTTGGCTGCAGTGCTCTGAAATGTCCCTTACGTACTCTGGTTTACATACTAGAAAACATAAAAAAAGAGATAGTTTCAGATTCCTGATTTTATTTTTTAAAAAACTCAGTGATTTAAGTTTGTTGGCTTTTAAATATAAACCATTGTTACACATCTGCTCATAGAGATCTTCAATATTTATATTTAAATGATATGCATGAGAATTCATTCTCAACATAAGCAGTAGAGACAAAAGCAGAACAAACAGATACATGAGTCAATTTGTTATGCATATGTAGATTTATCATTATCTTAAAGTACCAAGTATCTAGACATGTATGTGCATTAAATATGTCTTAAGGAATCACATCCCTGTGTGATTTCTTAGCATCTTTCTTGTTCCATAAGATCTTTAAAATTATTTGAGGAAGCAAACCTTTAGGCCTTTTGGCGAACTACTACCAAATTTTATTCAGTCCTTGTTCACTAAGAAGAAAAATAATTTTATTATTTATTTAATACATAAAATCTTATTTTTGTGACTGATTGATCATTTCAATTCTAGGGTTATTTCAAGTAATAGGTCACATATTGTGAAACTGCCAGTTAACAGGGTAAGTTGTTTTCTCATATCTCATGTGGAGTGGGGAGGCTGGGGATGAGGTGGGAAAACTGACCCTGGAGATTCAGGCCGGCTCTTCAGGATGAAGCCGACCTAGATGAAGGCTAATTCTTCAGCTGGAATTTGCCCTTTGTGCACTAGCTCCGAATCTTTCTAAGGTAGCAAATTCAAACCCAGGCTGCAACCTTGAGCTTTTAAATAAATAAAAAATATATAAATGTGAGGTAATTCAGTTATTCCACAACTGATAGCCAAATATTATTTCGGGGTGTATCAGAATTTTGTCACATATTCACCTTTCCATCTCAGAAAATATTGTTTCCAAATTCTTTTGTTGGCCTAATACGTTTAAAAATAATGATTATGAAAAAATAACAGGCCATCATTTCAGTTATCTTCTGCTCCTCTAAGTAGTATTTAAAACTCTGTTTTAGCTACTACAAATCTCCAGTGTGAGATTTCTAGTATTATATTTCTATGTTAGGTATTCTTAAGTATAAAAGAAACAATTAGGAAAATTTGTCAAGCAATTAATTTGAAAGGTTCTTTGTTAATTTCTTTCTATGACCAAAGGGGAAAATTTTGTTCCAATGTAGATAATTCCTAATTTTATGAATACTTGCAAATAAAGCATAATTAAAATTTCTTCCTCTGGCAATAATATTTCTGTGAGCAAATATCAGAATATTTCCTTAGTTGAACAATTCGTGTATACTGAGGAAATGATAGGATAAATGTCTTAAAAATATATAACCGAGAAAACAGACCTGCCTGAATGTGATTGCATTGTCTTTCTGCTGTCTCTTTCTTTTGAGCCTGCAGAATTATCCTTCATCTCAGAAACTCATGAAATAATGTATCATTTATGCAAGGCTTTAAAAATAGAGCTTATAAATAAGCCTTTACACGTAATTAGTATAAACTACTCTAAGTTAACCTTATACAATTCTTAAATTAGTGAAATTCAAGGTTGACACCCTCCTGCTTATGTTAAAAGTGACATTGTCATATGTCATTGTCTTAAACGACAGCAATTGAAATTTATGCATACTCCGCATCAGTTCCTCCTCCTCAGCAGTCCACCAGCCAAAGAATCGAACTTCAGAGCCGCTAAAAAACTCTTTGGAAGCACCTTTGCGTTTCAGTGAGTATGACTTAATGTTGACATGGTGGGTTTCTCCAGATCTTCCAGAAATGTATAGAGAATGAAACTTTTTCCAGTAATTGGAGCATTCACTTAGAATAATCAGCTGCAGAGTGCTTGAATTGGAAACTCAGAACTTTCACCAGCATCATGACTTACTATACTATGATCAGTTTGAACGATGACTGACTTTTCAATGCTGCCTCTTCCTTTCTCTCTCTCTCTTTTTTTTTTAATTAAAGCGGCTCACACATTGAAAACTGGCACTCCATCTTGAGGAATGGTTTGGTTGTTGCCTCTAATACACGTCTTCAGGTAAAGTTCATTAGTTTTTGGTATTGAGCTTCAGTAACCAATCTTGCTAACATGGTTTTACTTGCATCAGGAGAAATGAATGAGCTTTAAATCATTTGGCGGTATTTCTAATAAGAACTGTACATTTTCACAAAAATACTCAAAGAAACCTTAATCTGTACACAGTAAAAGAAAAAGGAAGGCAAGTTCCCTGTGAGAAAACAAAGTCTGACTTTGAACACAAAACACGGACATTGTATCCTCGATTCCAGAATTCAGCCCTTGAGTACTGTGCCTCTGTGTGAGTCCTTTTAGAGGAGAAATTGCATTAAGAAGCAAAGTGGAGATGGGATACCAAAGAGCCACCTGATACCAGCTCCTCAGCCTTCTGGATAGTACTGGGCATTAGATGCTATTTCGGCTGTAGCCTTCATCTTTATTCATGCTCTACCTCTCACACATCCCATTTTGCTCTCATACCGCTGACAATATAAGGACGTCTGGAAATGAGAAGCTTAACACATTCACCTGAGCTAGATGTCACAGCACAAGGAAAAGATGCAATTAAATGTAAATGCCCAGAAACACACGTTTAATGACTTGATATTCAAAAGGACACAGAGATGATAAGAATTGTTATTGTTGTAAAGTAGTTGGCTTCCTCCTGCTGAAGATTTTTCAAAAACAAAAGTTTTAGAAAAAAAGAAAGTCTTAGAAGAGTGAGACAGAAGACAGGGTTATATAACAAAAATCTGATGAAATGTGAGTCTTAATCAAAATGTATCTCCCATGTATTTTAACCATTTCTTAGTTTTTCTTTTTTATTGTTTTTTAAATATTTAATTATCTTTAAAGAGTTGTACAAATTGCCATCCAGTGAAAGTTTATGGATGCAGTGCATTGATCTTTGTCACCGCTGTCAACATTCTCACTCACCACTCCCAGCCCCACCCCGTCCTTCACTTTCCTTAATTTTTAGGATGTATATTGAATTATTTTGCCACTTAACAAAGCAGTTTATGTAGATAATGCATCTTTCTCTGCGTCATCCCTTCAACATTTCACCCTCCTTGAATCCACCTTTTCCCTTAGTTTTCTCAATTCTGTGGCATATACAATGAATTCTTGACTGCACTCTTCCCTCTCCCGCCTTCATGTATCTGTCCCTCTCTCAGGGGCCCCACCTTTCCTCTCGCACGTACTCATTTCCTGGGTTCTTATTTCGTTGGGTTTGAAATAGTCTTTCTAAAGAATTATACTATTGAAGCCCTCCATAGAGTCTATTATATTTCAGTTAATTCATTTGTGACTGCTTGCTTACCACCCAGTGTGTTTAACCAGTTTTGTTTTTAGAACTTTTAAAGGGATTCAAATAAAAACAGGTTAGAGTACTTTAGGGTATGATTCTTTGTCACTGATAGGGGGATAGGGTTGAAAACAGTCATCAAGATTCTTTTCCCTCTGGCTGTCATTGTCCATGTAACTTTCTCTCCATTTTAACCACAAGGCTATTAGTAGTATTCTCAAATTAGATGTTGACATAAATGAGCTATCGTTTGTTTTTTTTTTAAACTTTGTGTTTCAAGATGAAACTTACCTACTTACTGTAAAATACTGACAGTTACACAATTGACTGACTTCTTTCTCACATCTTCCTGTTTAGCTCCATGGTGCAATGTACGGAAGTGGGATCTATCTTAGTCCAATGTCAAGCATATCATTTGGTTACTCAGGTAATCTTGTAATTTCATTTCTAATTTCAGTTTTATCAGGTTCTTATTCTCTTATTGTTATATACTCTGGACAAAGTTTTCTATTCATAATTAGTAGTTAATATCAATAATGTTAATAATAAGACTGAAGCCTTATTAGGTATATTCGTATCAAATTTATTTGTTCAATGTCAGAAGTATAAACAAAACTCAATTGAAAACATCTTGCTAATACATTGATCCGATTGTGGGGAAAATACCTTGGAATAAATTGAAAGCATGTATTGTGAATAGTAAGATGAACCTGTTAAGTTCAAGCTATAGGAAGAATGATTACCTAATTATTAGCATTGGTGATCCTTAGGTAGTACCAGAGAAAGAGAACACAAATTACACAGAATTATAAACATAGCAAATGAACAATTCCTTCCTTTCTTACAACCATAATGTTTAGTATGTTTTTTCTTCACACTTTCGAATTTTTTCACATTCCTGTATCAGAACATGCAGTTGGTATTGCTTGTGTATGTGTGTATATATGTGCACATGTGTGTGAGCATATATAAAGCAATCACATTACATTATCCCAGGCAACATTCACATCTCTTAATAAAAGAGTTGGCAAGTCACATTGGAGCAAAAATTTAGACAATAGAATAACACTTTTTAAAGGAGAGTAGTTCAAATTCAGCCCATAAAACAGTATACATAAAAAATCTAAAAAGTAATCAATGAGTATATCCTCAACACCTCAACACAGGTAGTAAAGAATCAACACATCATCAAATTCTGTAATTTTTCTGTTTCTTAGACTCTTCTACAAACACCTTAGGTAGACTCACCAAAAGGATAGAGATTGTGTAAATGGATATAAAACTTTTGTCTCTGTGTGTACATTTGTCTAAGGATAATCCATGGCTTTTGTCAAAATCTTTAAGGTCTCTTGATTTGGAAAATTATGAGACTCGGGGAAGGGGTGGAGTATGGCCACAAACCACTTGTCTGGCATGAAGGAAGCCCTGAGTTTCAACCCAGAACTGGCACGAGGAGTCACATTCTCTACAGAAAGCTGAAATAGCTTCTGTACTTTGTTTTCAGTGCTGAGCATACAAAAGTTATGGGGTTGGATGGCACCTGAGTTGAGTGCCTTTTGTATTTCTCCTAGACCTACTTGTCTGAAATGCTGGGTGTGTTCCCACCCATCTGTGGCGCCTTTTGGGAAGTGCCCAACTTGGAGAGGGTTAGATAAACACATTTTGCAAGTTAGTAAATAGACTTTTCCTCCTTTTCACTAAGCCATTTAGTCAAAAGTATCTCAAACTTCTGGTGTGTTAGTAAGGGAACACTTGCTAATATGGATACAAGTCTATTCTAAAACAAATTTGAACTGGTTGCTTTTCTAAAATCTTTCATATTAAGACATGATGGCATTAAGAGTAAGCTTTGACTTTCAACTATTATAAACAAAAGAACATACATAATTTTCCTGGTTAGAAGAATTGAGCATATATATATGTATGAATTGAGTATATATATGTATATATGATTCTCAAGGTTGTAGTGTGGTATATTTTTCTATCATTGCTTATATTTCTCACTCCTTATCATACCATTTTCAAAGCTAGGTAATGAGAAATCTTTTGATTTCTTTTGAAGACAAAATTTTAAGGATTTTCTAATGAGTTTTGTACTGAAGAATGTTCTATTAGTGCAAAGAAAGACAAACAGGTTGCTAGCCCCCCATGCTTTCTGATCCTCCCTAACTCACTGGCCGTTCACCACAGTGTTCCTTCAGAGCCCATTGTGAGCCTCTGACCTGAGAGGAGACCTCTCCATGCAGAAGAATTTCTCAGATAGATTGTACTTCAAGTTGCACCAATCTGCTTTGTCCCTAAATTATTATCTTGCTGATGTTTCCAGGGATGAACAAGAAGCAGAAGGTGTCAGCCAAGGACGAGCCAGCTTCGAGCAGTAAAAGCAGCAATGCATCACAGGTGTTGTAGTGACTCAAGTGACTGCGTATGATTACGGAACCGTGGCCTCATTAAGGCAGCAGGACTTCAATAAATAGCCAGGCTTATTAAGTCTGCAGAATGGCTTTCAGTGGTCATTACTCATAAAGGACTAGAACTTACCCCAAAATGCAATAACTATATTCTCTCTGTACAATAATTATGTAAGACATTTATTCCTCTTCTCCTGTAATATCAGAGTCTCTCCTGAACATTAGAGGACAGAGGGGACTAAAAAAAAAAACACAGATAAATATTCTCAATCTCTGTGATACTACATTCTACAGAGGGATTACAAACAAATTAAAATCACACTGAAATAGAAGGCTAGATCATGAAGAAAAGTACTTCAGGGAAAAGGGATGCCCAGGGCTCACGGGTGGAAGGCAGAACTGGAGGAATGGGATGATGAAGGAAGGATACTCTTAAGACAATGACATTTCAGTCAATCCCTATGGATTGTGTACACATCTTGTGGTCTCTAGGAGAAAGAAACATTCTGGCAGAGTTAGGAGTGAGCACAGGTTCCATGTTCTTTCGAGAAAGCAAGTATATGTCAGGAAAATAACCCATCTGATGAATAATGTAACTGCACGTTATCTAGTAGCCAAAAGCAAAACCAGAAACAAGTCAGATGTTCTTCATGAGATCTTTTCCGTGGCTTTGTAAGAGATGGTTTTAAGCAGTTAAGTGACCTGGAATGATTGATTTTATGTTTCTAAAAGATCATATAAATTCAGTTTGGTTTACCTGGAAATCAACTTGCCAGATTTCGAGTAAAAATAAATTTTGTGTTATGATACTACCGAACCCTAATTCAGCATTCTTTTAGTTCACTCATCTTGAAAAGAATTTTAAAATGATTGCAGTGATTATATATAGAAATTAAATGGTACAACAAAAAACAGCTAGAAATTAAGAAAGTACAAGGATGCTGATGTTAGCCTACATAGACATGTTTTTATCTCCTGGAGCCATTTAAGTGATTTTTCTTTTTTAATAATGAAAAATCTTTTCCTTAGACTATTCTCTCATTTTCTCCTTGTAATTTTTCAATTGTTTGTGATTTAGTCACAGAAAAAAGGACAACAATCCCAATTCCTACAAAGTCGTAACTTGAAATGCATCGCCTTATGTGAAGGTAAGTTCACAGTGTCAGTTCTATCTTATCTGCACTTAAGAATTCAATTATGTTTGCAGAGTTGTCATGATGGAATAGTGAAAGCATTATTCCTTAAGACCAGCTCAAAGGGCACAAATGGAAAATGAGTACAATTAAGATCATGAAGGTTAAACCAAATTGCACAATTGGCAAGAATTCAGACAGTGCTGTATTTTATTGCTGGCAGATATTTCAGAATGGTCGTGCTTGTACCTCCTCGTTAACTTAAGATATGAATATACAATGAAAATCTTAAAAATGGGCCAAGCACTGTGAAGATAACTCAGTCAGTCCTTCTGTTCCTGAACAGAAAGTATTCTTTCATTCTGAAATTAGGATAGAAAAATTGATAGGTGATTTGCCAGGCTATAATGTTTTTCTTGTTTTAATACTTCACTGGCCAAAAGTCTATTTTACTTTTCTTGTGGTAGAAAACTTCTGTAGTTTTCTGTAGCTGTCATCAACTATCTTGATATACCTGTCAACATTTAGTAGTTATATATGTAGGTTTGTACCTACATAGTTCTAAAGTCAGGACTCATTTTATAATATTCAAATGAGTCTTCACTGTTACTATAACAGTTATTATTCGCACCATCAAGGTGTTCTATGGTTTTTCCTTGTAGTTTTGGTACCTGATAAGGTTAAACATTATTGGTATATTCATCTACATATATACTTTTGCTTTTAGAATATAGTAATTTGGAATGATTTCAACTCCTTTAGAATAAAATAGTCCTTTGGCATTTATCTCCTGCTCACAGTGATCACCTCGCCTGACCTGCACAAACATGGAGAGATATGGGTTGTCCCAAACACAGATCATGTCTGCACACGATTCTTTTTTGTGTAAGTGTAAATGCTGAAATTTGCATGTTTCTGTCTTCTTCACAAATTGCAGCTTTAATTGTGTGTTATTATTTGGTCATTTTAGCTTCCAAAATACAAAAAGCAGTAACTGTTTGTTGTCAAATTAATGATTTTATATCAGTAAGCTTAGTGAGAAAAGAATGGTGATTAAATGCTATTGACTTAGAAGAAAAAACACCTCTGTTTCTTTTTACCATCTATATAGACTTTAGCAGTAAATAAAATGATTTTGGAACTGAAAATGAAGAACAGAATTAAAGAACAGCATCTTGCCTACAAAAGATTGATCTCCATTCTATTCAGTATGAATTGACTATACAGTTTGTGTATGTTGTTTTGTTTTTGTGTTAGAAAAGCTGTATGAAAATATAACATTCGTAAGTAAAGCATGCAAGACAACAGTCTGACTTCTACAGCACTCTTGACTCAGCCCTTTCCTCTGGCTGTTCCCAACTTATCCATGCCCTTGGTACAAAAAACATTTCAGGGAGGAGTGGAGTGTGTTGAGTTTGTATTTTATGTAGTTGTTAGAAGAAACTGAGAAGATGATATGGTTTGTTTTTATAAACCTTGTCAAACTGACAGCATGAAAATTGCTTTACTCTATCAGATGTGCTCAGTAGCCTGTGTGCTCAGCATTTGATTCATTGGGTTGTTGACAGGTTGTTCACAATGCAACTCTGATGAGCTCCTTGAAACCAAGGAGCTTTAAATGCTATGCATTCTGTGATTGGATGTAGATTTCTTTCTTAATGGTGAGGTAGTAGTTAATGTAATAGCAGAATTCCACTTTGGACCAGTTTGAGTCTCAGCGTTACAGAAACTGATTAAGTAAAAAATTACTAAGTTAACCTAGTTTCTCTAAACTTCAACAGTAAAACTAGAATAATATGCTTGCTTGTATTAGTCAGAATCCCAATAGCAAGCAGGTGACCCATGGAAAAAAATTATAATTTTATCATTCATAATCAGATTATTTCCAAAGGCAGCCAACAGATCTAGTGCAGTAACCCGGATCTAGTAGCACTGGGACTATTTTATATATTCAAGTCCAAAGGTCTGAAATAAGAAGTAGTCCTGCTCAAATCCTTACTGGACAAACCCTTACAATGAGGGCAAGAAGTTCTATTGTACACAAAGATAGAATATATGAAGATCAGAATAACCATTGTGGCAGAATGAAGGAGAGAAGGGCTGAGGAGATCTACAAGCTATCCTTACACACTACTCTTGAAATATTTATGAAGATTAACTTAGCATGATACAGGTCTTATTACAGAGCTCATCAACTATTTTTTTATCTCTTCTGTCTTGGCTATTTTGATACATCATCAGCTGGGCTTGTGCCTGTCATCTTAGCTTCTCAGGAGGCTAAGGATCACAGATCAAAGCCAGCCTAAGCAGGAAAATCTGTGAGACTTTCTAGCTCCAATAAACCACCAGAAAACTGCAAATGGCGCACTAGCTCTAAGTGGTAGAGCACTAGCCTTGTGCAAAAAAACCTCAGGGACCTGGGCCCAGGCCCCAAGTTCCTACAACCAAGACAAAAAAAATTAAAAAATAAAAATAAAAACTTGGCCTTTTGCAAAAAGTGCTCCATCACAAAATTGATTCTTTGAGTGATCATGGGATTATGTCTGAAAAATAATCTCTGGGTCCTTTCATCTGATAGTTTTGTGTCTTAAAAAATTCAGATTTGGGGCTGGGAATGTGGCTCAGTGGTGAAGTGCTTGTCTAGCATAAATGAAATACTGGGTTCAATTCCTCAGTACCACATAAACAGAAAAAGCCTGAAGGAGTGCTGTGGCTCAAGTGGTAGAGTACTAGCTTTGAGCAAAAGAAGCTTAAAGAGAGTGCCCAGGCCCTGCGTTCAAGCCCCATGACAGGCCAAAACCAAAAAAGAAAATTCAAATTTGTTTACCAAAATAAGCAACCTCACTCATTTAAGTAGTACATTTAAGTATTATTACTAATAAAATTTAACATTAATTGTACATAGATCATATCTGTTACAGTATATGTGTGTAGGGTTGTACTTATTAGAGAAAAAGATTTCTGTTTTTGGTCAAAGCTAAGAAGAACAAAGAAAACATTTTTGTATACTCAGATACTTTCAAAATGATACAAAGGAGAAAAGTGTGTTAGGATAATTTTCATTACTATATAAACACAAATGAGATTTCATCCTTTTTGTCTGTTCCCTCAGGAGAGAAGACATTCATTAAAGAAAACTGATAAAAATCCAAAACACATCAAAGGGAGAATCTATTCACCAATTAATGTACATTCTAATTACAGCTATCAATTTATTTTGTTATAAAAGATCTGATCACAGATTTCTGGTTGTATGCCTCCCTCATGAATGTAGCATCTAGGAAGATAATTAACTGATGAGAATAAAGTGAGTTATTAGGCAGAAACTCAATTTCTTTTTCTCCTTTTTTAATACATTATATTATCCCTGATGCTAGAAGCTCTGCCTGATGACTAAGATAGAAATTAATGTGTTTTTCTTTTTCATCTGTTGTGAGTGAAAATAATGAAAATTAAAATAACTTCCATGCCTGTTTGATTTCTCAGAACTGAGAGGATAAGATAGTCATTTAGTATTAATCACATTCTTTAAAACAGCTAACTAACACCGAATAACAGAAAAATTAAGAGAAAAATTTCAGGGAGCAGACTGGTATATCAGAATATATTCAGAATAAAGTTTGTAGGATAAGGAAAGTGTACAGATAGGGAAGAAATAGGGAGAAGTTTGAAAAAAAAACTTACTGTGAAATTCTAGAATGAATAAACTTAATTAACTACAAATGCCCCAGGCAAAATGTTCAGATGGTATTAACAGATTTAGCCAATTTTTAGTATCTAGAAATTGTTAGATTATATCACTAACCTTGAGACACATGAGAACAAGGACATTGAGACCCATATGTAGAAATAAGAAAGCTATTTTCGAAGCCAGGCTCTGGTGGCTCATTCCTGTAATCCTAGCTACTTAGGAGGCTGAGATCTGAGGATCAAGATCCACTAGTTCAGCCCTGGCAGGAAAGTCCAGGAGATTCTTATCTCCAATAAAGTACAGAGAAAAGGTTGGAAGTAGCACTGGTAGAGAGCTTGCTTGCCTTGAGCAAAAAAAAGCTCAAGAGTTCAAGCCCCAGAACCAGCTAAAACAAAACAAAACAAAAAAACTGCTTTTAATACAGCCTGAACAAGGAATGTGCAAAATAGTATAGTTATTACATTCTGCTCACCTAGAAGGAAAATGTTATTTTACAGTAAAGGAGTGGTAGGGGATGTCTTAAGAACTAGAGGGAAAAATGCTATCAATATTTTTCATAATTTGTTAAAAATAATAAAATTCAAGAGATGGTAATAGATGATTTGGCCAGAGGATAAAATTAGTGTAACTAGGGATCTGGGCTTCTCAGTACTTCTCAGTACTTGCCCCAGTGAATGACAGCTCTTAGGATAGGGGAGGGGCCTGTCCTGCTGCTGTCTGAGAACCAGAGAAAGGCTCAGAATGACTGTATCCAGCCTACTTGATGGGGCAGCGTACAAGTTGAGTACTTTCATGTTTGTTTCCTTGATTTAGAGCAGATGAATTATTCACATATTTTGGGCATAAAATAAATATAAATAGTCTACATTTGCCTTATGTCATTTTTTTTTGAAAACTCACAAATTTAAGAACCCAAGACATTGCATCTGCAGTAAATAAGACTAAACATTTTTTGAAACTTCAATCAAAAGGTTACAGTGTTAAGTACATTTGTAGGCATCCCTATGGAGAATCCATTTTTTAAGGTATAGTTCAAACACCACCTCTTTTCCAAAACTGTGAAAAAGTATTTGTTGTTGCTCACCAATGGCTCATTCTGTAGTCATACTTAATCAGGAGGCTGAGCTTTGAGGATCACAGTTCAAAGCTAGTCGAGGCAGACAAATCCAAGATTCTTGCCTCCAATTGACCAGCCTAAAGCCAGGAGTAGAGGTGTGGCAATAATGGTAGAGTGCCAGTGTTGAGTGAAAAAGAAAGAAACGAGTGCGAGGCCTTGAGTTCAAGTAATGGCAAGCATGTTCGCACGCATGCGAACACACATGTACACATAGAGAATAAGCTGTTTTATGTAGGAATAGGAATATATTATCTGTAGTAAATGGCACAACTTTGACTTAAAATTTAGTTGCATTATTTTTTTGGGGGGGGTCCAGTCGTGGGGCCTGAACTCTGGGCCTGGGCGCTGTCCCAAAGCTCTTCAGCTCAAGGCTAGCGCTCTACCTCTTGAGCCACAGTGCCACTTCCAGCTTTTTTCTTTTTGCTTATGTGGTGCTGAGGAATTGAACCCAGGGCCTCCTGCATGCAAGGCAAGCGCTCTACCACTGAGCCACCTTCCCAGACCAAGTTGCATTATTTTTTACAAGACTAATTATCAATATCATTCTGATGGATGAGTAGAATTCTATTGTGTATATGTACCATATTTTCTTGATTCATTTATCCATTGAAAGACATCTGGGCTAATTCCATATATTGGCTATGGTAAATAATTCTGCAATGAACATGGCTGTGCTGGCAGCTTTAGTGTGGTCTTGTTTGTATTTTATAGGATAGATGCCCAGGAGTAGAATTGCTAGGTCATAGGATAGCTCTATTTTTAACTCTTTGAGGAAGCTTCATACTGCTTTCCAGAGTAGTTGAATAACTTTATATTCCAGTGTAATAGAGTTCTGTTTTGATCATATCTATGCAAGCATTTGTTATTGTTAGTTTTATTGATAATGGCCATTCTAGCTGGGATGAAATGGAATCACACTGTTGTTTTAATTTGCATTTCTTTATGTGTTGAATATTTCTTAATGTGTTTCTTAGCCATTTTTACTTCTTCTTAGAAAAATTGTTAAGTGAAAAAAGCCAGATCAGAAAAACATAGATTGCATGGTTTCCTTCATTTGTGGTAACTAGAACCTGTTTA